CTCTCGTATAGGTCAAGAAACTAAACTAGAGAAACCATTTGCCATTGGAAGATTCGGGCTGGGGTTTAATTGTGTTTATCACTTCACAGATATACCAACTTTTGTTTCGGGAGAAAATATTGTCATGTTTGACCCACATTCCTGCAATCTACCTGGGATATCTCCTTCACATCCTGGCCTGCGGATCAAATTTACGGGCAGAAGAATATTAGAACAATTTCCTGACCAATTTTCTCCATTTCTGCATTTCGGGTGTGATCTGCAACATTCTTTCCCTGGAACCCTCTTCCGATTCCCTCTTCGGAGTGCAAGTGTTGCTTCTAGAAGCCAAATAAAGAAAGAAGGGTACACACCTGATGATGTCCTAGCACTGTTTCATTCCTTTTCAGAGGTTGTCTCTGAGACATTGCTTTTCCTGCGGAGCGTGAAAAGTATATCGATTTTTGTGAAAGAAGGTGCTAATAGTGAAATGCAACTGCTACATTGTGTTGACAAGCAATATGTAGGTGATTCTGAGGATGAAAGTGATCCAAATCATCAGGTCTTCAGTCTTATGTATGGGAAGCGGCATGACAAAAGTAATAAAGCTCAGTTCCTCAGCCAATTATGTAAGTCTGTGAATATAGACTTGCCATGGAAGTGTCATAAGATTGTGGTGTCCGAGAAGAGCACTTCTGGTGGTCGTGCACATTTGTGGTTAACTAGTGAGTGCTTAGGCTTTCTTCGAGGTAAGAATAGTCATGCCAACCTTGATAAGTACCATAACACTATTCCTTGGGCATGTGTCGCTACTTGTTTACACACAAAGAAAACTGAAAGCGATTTGGATGGTGATTTTGATGAATCTGATCTCATTACTCCTAAATTGCTAGACTTCCCAGTGGCATCAACTGGTGCTATAGAGAATTTTGAGGGTCGTGCCTTCTGTTTTTTGCCACTGCCAGTCATTACTGGGCTTCCTGTGCATGTCAATGCATATTTTGAGTTATCATCAAACCGAAGAGATATATGGTTTGGCAATGACATGGCTGGGGGTGGGAAGAAACGCTCTGAGTGGAATATGTACCTACTTGAAGATGTCATTGCTCCAGCTTATGGTTATATGCTTGAGAAAGTTGCTTCAGAAATTGGCCCATGTGATTCATTCTTTTCCTTTTGGCCAACCAAGATGGGATATGAACCATGGGCGTCAGTGGTGCGGAAACTCTATAATTTCATCTCTGGTTCTGGTCTTAGAGTGTTGTATACAAAAGCCAGAGGTGGACAATGGATCTCAACGAAGCAAGCAATTTTTCCAGATTTCACTTTTGACAAGGCAAGGGAACTTGTGGATGCATTATCAGATGCTGGTTTGCCTATGGCGATCATTCCCGAGGCTCTTGTGGAAAAATTTAAGGAGATATGTCCCGGACTGCATTTTCTTACACCTCAACTACTCCGCACTCTTTTAATTAGGAGGAATCGTGAATTTAGAGATAGAAATGCTATGATCTTAACCTTAGAATACTGCTTGCTTGACCTAAGAACTCCAGTTCAATCTAGCACTTTCTTTGGCTTACCCCTGATACCTCTTTCCAATGGTTTGTTCACAAAATTTCAGAAGAGGGGGGAGAGTGATCAAATTTATATTGCTGACGGCGACGGATATGGTCTTCTTAAGGATTCTCTTCCCCACCAACTTGTAGACTCTGGGATCTCTGCTTTTCTCTATGACAAGTTAAGTGAAGTAGCCCAAAGTGAAGATTTTAACATTACTTTCTTGACTTGCCCTTTGCTTGAGAGGCTTTTCGTGCAATTACTCCCAGCAGACTGGCAGCTGGCTAAACAGGTGAATTGGGTCCCTTGTTGTCAAGGACATCCTGATTTGGATTGGATGAGACTGCTGTGGAGCTATCTTAAGTCTTGTTGTGATGATCTCTCTTTGTTTTCGAAGTGGCCTATTTTACCTGTTCTAAACAATCGTCTCCTGCAGCTAGTGGAAAATTCCAATGTGATCAAAGATGGTGGCTGGAGTGAGAATATGTCATCACTTTTGCTGCGCGTTGGATGCCTGATATTGAGGCGTGACTTCCCAATAGACCATCCTCAGTTAATACGTTATGTCCAGCCTCCGACTGCAAATGGTATATTAAATGCAATATTGGCTGCAGCTGTGAAAATAGAAAAGATCGAGGGGCTCTTTACTAATGCATTGGAGGGAGAAATGCATGAACTTAGGAGCTACATTCTCCAGTCGAAGTGGTTCTGTGAAGATTCAATGAATAGCACTCATATGGTTATCATCAAAGAGATTCCTATGTTTGAGTCTTTCAAGAGCAGAAAAATGGTATCTTTGAGTAGGTTAACTAAATGGTTAAAACCAAATGGTGTACGTGAAGATCTATTGAATGATGATTTCTTGAGAATTGAATCAGATAAGGAAAGGAGTATCTTGAATAAATACTTAGAAGTTGCAGAACCTACAAAGGCGGACTTCTTCAAACATTATGTAATCCCTCACATGCCTGAGTTTGTTTCTCAAGATGGATTACTCTCAGCCATTTTACAAGATATCAGATATTTGATGGAAGAGGACAACTCCTTGAAAGAAGCAATCTCCAAAGCGACTTTTGTTTTAACTCGTGATGGTTCCTGGAGAGAGCCTATCAGGTGTGTGTATTTATCCATCTACTCAACTTTCTTATGTTCATGCGCGAGTGACTTAATCCTTGATGATCTCAAATAGTTTCTTGTTTCTCTCAGTCAAATTAGGTCTCCTTAGAAGTTGTTAGGCACAAGTGTAATGCTATCAATTGTAAAACAATATAAAAGGTAAAATCATTGGTATGTTTTCTCTGAGAAAAGTCAAGAAAATGATGCAGAAAGTAATTCTACGGAAAAAGCAGCATTATTTCCTAGGGGTAGGTCACTAGGTTGTAGATCATATTTCACGAAAAAAAATAAAATTAGACGAGGAGTCATTTTCTTATGAGAAGTGACAATCTATTGTAGTATTAAAGGTATACTTAATATAAAATTAGTGGTACATTCTTGGTCGTTTTTGGTTTTGCTACAGAAGTTTTTCATTTAAATATCAACACCAAAAATCATCAAGCTGAATCTTTTCCTAAAAAAGTGGCTGGACTGAAGATTGTGTTACATAATCAACATACTCACTGTAATTGATGTGTAGTCGAGTAAATCTAACACATAAAATCTGTTACTAGCAGGGAGTCTTCACTGCAATTTATTTTGAAAGAATATTTTTGATGAGTTAGCAACTTGGTACCCGTGCTGTCGGATTATAAAATCCATCAAATGCTCAAACTCTTTCTGCTATTCTACCTATGCTTAGAAGTTTTAACGTATACCATTAAGTATGGTGTATTTATGTGATCTACATACAATACATTCTCATGTGTGTGTGTGTGTAACACGGGGGGTATGTTCTTACGTACTTCCTCCGTTTCATTTTATTTGTCGTAGTTTGACTTGGCACAAAACTTAAGAAAGAAAGGAAGACTTTTGAAACTTGTAGTCTTAAATATTCGATAATATTTGTGTGGCTATAAAACTTTTTAAACTTGTGAAACTTAAGAAAACTTAAGAAAGAAAACTTAAACTTGTGAAACTTAAGTTTTTAAACTATAAAACTTATTTGTTGTAGTTTGACTTGGCACAAAACTTAAGAAAGAAAGGAAGACTTTTGAAACTTGTAGTCTTAAATATTCGATAATATTTGTGTGGCTATAAAACTTTTTAAACTTGTGGTTTTAAACATGACATAGCATTTGTGTGACTAGAAATGCTTCTCATTATCTTTTTAAATGGACTAATAAGGAAATAGTGCCAAACAAAGTGAAAAAGAGGGAGTATATGATTGTGGAATTTGTAATGTTTCTGTAGGCTTTATGATCCTCGTATACCAGAACTGAAAATGTTGTTGCATGGAGGTGCCTTTTTTCCATCTGAAAAGTTCTCTACTCCTGAGTGTCTTGATATTTTGGTTAACCTTGGGCTTCGGCAATCTTTGAGCTTTACTGGTTTGCTAGATTGTGCCACATCTGTGTCATTGTTACATAATTCCGAAGAGTTAGAAGTGGTGAAGTATGGTAGCAGGTTGTGTTACTTGTTGGACACAGTTGCAGCAAAACTCTCATCACAGGAAGGGGAACCCAGTGTTGGTCATGAATCTTCTCAGGGGTTATGTCTTAGTGTTTGCAATGAAGGAGCTGTTGATGTTACTGACAACCTCTTGGAGGACCTCTCAGGATTTATTTCATTTCTCAGCAACTGGATCGATGATATGTCTGGAGAAGAATTTTGGTCAGCATTGGGATCCATAAGTTGGTGTCCTGTACTTATAGATCCGCCTATTAGAGGATTACCGTGGTTAGCCTCAGGAGGAAAAATTGCGATGCCAAGTAACGTTCGGCCCAAGTCGCAGATGTGGATGGTTTCATCTAAGATGCATATCCTGGATGGTGAATGTTCAGAGCATCTGCAACGTAAACTTGGTTGGATGGATAGCCCAAGTATAAAGATTCTGTCTGAACAATTGCTTGGACTATCTAAATTCTATGTGGAGGTAAATGATGACTCAGATGCAGCACATAATTTTGATTCAGTTTTGCAGAAGCAGGTGCTCTTAATTTATTCACAGTTGCAAGAATCTATTGGTACTGACGACTTCAAGGTTCTCAAGTCTACCTTAGATGGTGCTCGGTGGGTATGGATAGGAGATGATTTTGTTTCTCCTGATGTACTTGCTTTTGATTCACCTGTGAAATACAGCCCCTACTTGTATGTTGTACCATCTGAGTTAACGGATTTCAGAGATTTGCTTCTGGAGTTAGGTGTTAGACTCAGCTTTGATGTTTTTGATTACTTCAAAGTTTTACAAAGGTTGCAAAATGATGTGAAAGGGTTCCCCCTTACTGCTGATCAGCTGAGTTTTGTCAATCATGTGCTAGAAGCAATTGCAGATTGCAACATGGATAGCTTAATGTTTGAGGCTTCCAGTACTCCTTTATTACTTCCTGATTCTTCTGGAGCTCTTATGAGTGCTGGGAATCTTGTTTATAACGATGCTCCTTGGATGGAGAGCAGCACTGTTGGTGGAAAACGTCTGGTTCATCCGTCTATCAGCCAGAATCTTGCTGACAGATTGGGTATTCAATCGCTTCGAAGTGTGTCATTAGTCAGTGAAGAAATGACAAAAGACTTACTGTGCATGGATTACCCAAAAATATGTGAACTTCTAGAGTTGTATGGAAAGACTGATTTCCTTTTGTATGACCTACTTGAGTTGGCAGATTGCTGCAAAGCAAAAAAGCTTCATCTGATTTTTGACAGAAGGGAACATCGGTGTCAGTCCCTTCTGCAGCATAATCTAGGTACATAGTTCTAAACCTACTTATTGGTTATTTCTCCGACATTTTTAATGGCAGAAACATGTGACTTTTGCGTGTTATTGAGCTTGAAAGCACCTTCAGTTGCTGTATGGTCTTGCTTATTTTCTGCTCTGAAGTTTTAAAGATTAATATTTTGATCAGATAACTTAAGTATACCTTCTCATTTAGAGGTAGGTGGTTTATGCATCTCAGTACACAATAATATGAATAGCGAGGTTAACGATAAAAAATATGAATAGTGAGGTGACTTTTTAGGTTTTTTTTGGTTTTATAGAAATTGACGTGTTGCGATTTTCATGGTGACATTTTTATGCAATTAGCATGTGCTATAACCATAGCATCTTTCAACTGCTATTTCTTCTTTGTCTTCTTTTACTCTTCTTTACTGGGGAGGTTTTGTGCCTGCATTCCATTACCTTGCTTTTACTTCTGGTTTTCATCAATGAGGCTTCTTTTCAATCTAATTAATATAGTGTTGGCAGAAATCCAGAGTTGAGCTTGAATGTTAACCTAATTTGCATTTTAAATATTTTACGAGCTTAAATGTTCTCATTTTTTCTTGCACTCTGCTTTACAGTTGAGCTGTGCTCCCTTGACACAGTTATTCTAATTGCTTTTTCTGATTGTTCTTTCCTACATTAATGTGGTGATCCAGGAGGAGGCGCAGTATTTTTTTTTTAATGCATTCAGTTCATATAAAAGTCTTAGTATATCTGAGGGAAACAAATGACAAGCCTATAGAAGACTGCTACAAAGCAAAGCAAACCCAAGTTCCATTGTAAATCTCAGAAGTGCCAATCCAAGATAAGAGGATGAATGACTAAAAAGTTGTTTCTTGAATCATTTATAAGGAGAAAATATTTCTTGGACCTATTATCCTCAAACAAACCAGGATTCCTAACTGTTTTCCATCAAAAGGCCGCTTAAAAAAAGAAAGAAATACAGTAAAATAACTGAAAAACAACTAGATTTCATATAATGAAAAATTGATCTGAACTAAATAAGAACCTAACAAATAGCCCAAATCCTAAAAACCGGCGTTTAAGGACTACTAGAGTACATCATAAACTGTACCATCACTTTATATAAAAGTTGTTACCATTCTCAAAAACCTGTACCATCACTTCTACTGTTTTCTAAAAACACAGCTTTTAATGTCATCTTGGTCCCTCATTCTGTGGCCTCCAGGTAGTCAATAGTTTATTTCTTACACACTGAGATGAATGAATGGTAGGTTATATCTAGCTCCATTTTTAGGTAACGGAAATACTCTGATACCTATTATCCTAGACAAACTAGGATTCCTAAGTTTTGTCCATAATGTGACTGCTTAAAAGTAAAACAATTGTATCCCAAAAACAAATAATTACGTAAACAAAGTAAGAACATAACTAATAACCCACATCTTAAAGGACGACTAAAGCACTTTGTAATATGTACAGTTGCCTCTAGAGATTTTCTGAGGAATAACTTTTGTGCCACCTCCCCTCCTATGATCTGTGTTTCCTGATAGTAAGTAGTCTGGATTTTAGGCACTGTAGAAGTTCGTCTTCATTCAGAAGCCTCTTATTTTGCAGGTGACTTTCAAGGGCCTGCACTAGTTGTCATCCTTGAAGGGGCAAACTTAAGTAGAGATGAAGTAGCTGGACTACAATTTCTTCCACCTTGGAGTCTGCGTGGTGATACCATGAATTATGGGCTAGGGTTGCTTAGTTGTTTTTCGATAAGTGATTTTGTGTCAGTTGTTTCAGATGGATTCTTGTACATGTTTGATCCTCGAGGTTTAGCTCTTGCAATGCCTTCACATCGCGCACCGGCTGCAAAAATGTTCTCTCTAAGAGGTACATACTGCATTGTAGTTGCTCAAGTGTTTAATCATGCTTATATACTCCTGTGCTTTATGCTAGAGAGATGTGAACAGATTTGGTTGTTACAGATACAATGCAGTACCGATTATATGATTAAAAAAAGGGCAGCCCGGTGCACTAAGCTCCCGCTATGCTCGGGGTCCGGGAAAGGGCCGGACTCCTTACCCTGCATTTGTGCAAGAGGCTGTTTCCACGGCTCCAGCCCGTGACCTCCTGGTCACATGGCAACAACTTTACCAGTTACGCTAAGGCTCTCCTTCAGTACCCGATTATATGATTATTAATCAAAATTTGTCTGAAATGATTCCATAAAAAGGAAAAAAAATGTAATTTAGCAGTTTCTATTCGAAGTTACCATGTAGAAACAGAAAATATTCATTGTCGTATATTAATATGTAAATATGTAACATTAAGATAAGTTTAGTATAACGATGACATGACCTGCCACTGCAAAGTATTTGTTATATTAGACAAGTAGTTGTGGGTTTTTCACATTCCATGGTCTGTTATGATCTCATAACAAAAGGTAGTTCTAAATTGCATTATGCACACATTGTAGATTTTGAGAAGAAGAAAAGGCTTCTTGTACTTTTGTGTGTGTTTACATCCCATGAGCAAGAGAGTTTATATAAAGCTCTTAATACTAATTAAGGAAATAAAATAAATCTGTACAATCAATCCAACTATCAAATAGAATCAAATAAAATCAAATCTCCTAGAGTATAATCAAATCTCCTAAAATTATGCTAATCAACAATCTCCTAAATTTAATCAAATCTTCTAAAATCATGCTAATTAACACTCCTCAAGTTGGTGCAAATATGTCGCACATGCCCAACTTGCAATTCAATGTGTGGAGAGTTCGCTTGTTGAGACCTTTGGTAAACACATCAGCTAGCTGTTTTCCGATGGCACATGAAACAAACTCAAGACACCAGTTGTAATTTTTTCTTTGATGATGATCAATTTCCACATGCTTTGTTCGGTCATACTGGATTTGATTATGAGCTATACTAATGGCAGCCTTATTGTCACAGTACAAGGAAAGTTTTCCTTTTTCAGATAGTCTCAATTCCTCTAGTAGCTTTTGTAGCCAAAGCAGTTAGCAAACACACTGGGCCATAGCTCTATATTTTGCCTCCGCACTTGATCTAGCCACTACATTTTGTTTCTTGCTTCTCCAATTAACCAAGTTTCCTCCTATGAGCGTACAGTAACCGGATGTAGATCTTGTCATTAGAGATCCAGCCCAATCCGCATATGTAAAAGCTTCGATTTGAAGGTGATCGTATGTTTGGAGAAAAGTAGACCTTTCCCTGGAGCAGACTTCAGATACCACAAAATGTGAAAGATAACTTGCATATGAGGATCGCGGGGATCATGCATAAACTGACTCACCAGGCTAATTGAATTGGCTATGTCTGGTCTAGTGTGGGAGAGATAAATGAGTCCTCCAACCAAATGAGTCTTCCAACCAGCATCTGATATCTCTCCTTATCAGCTACCTCTCCAACTCCACTTTGTAACTTGTGATTGCTTTCAATGGGAGATTCTGCGGGTCTGTAACCTGTCATACCAGTTTCCTTCAAGAGATCCAGAATATACTTCCTCTGATAAATAAAGATTCATCTTTTTGATCTAGCAACCTCAATTCCCAAGAAGTACTGAAATTTTTCTAGATCCTTGATCTCAAATTCATGTGCCAACAACTTCTTCAATCGGGCCATCTCCTCTTTGTCATCTCCTGTTATTACTATGTCATCAACATAAGCTACGAGAAGATTGAGTTTACCCGTTTGATGTTTTATGAAGAGGGTGTGATCAACATTGCTTTGTGGTAACCAAATGAGATCATTGCTTTAAAGAGTCTGTCAAACCAAGCTTTAGGGGATTGCTTCAGCCCTTACAAGACTTTCTTTAATCTGCATACATTTCCTTGACTTTGTGCAGTATCAAATCTAGGAGGAATCACCATATACACCTCTTCTTCTAAGTCTCTGGTGAAGAAATGCATTCTTCACATCAAACTGTTGCAAGTTCCAATCAAGATTAGCTGCACAAGACAAAAGAATTCTGATAGTGTTCATCTTAAACACAGGAGCAATTGTCTCTAAATAATCCATTCCATAAGTCTGAGTGCCATCAGCTTTGTGCTTCATAGTGAAGACCCATTTGCAGCCAATTAACTTGTTGCGTGGTGGTGAAGTGACAAGTTCCCAAGTCTCATTTTTTGACAAGGCCTTCATTTCTTCAATCACAGCGTGCTTCGATTTAGGATCTGCAAAAGCTTCCCTCCAATTTTGGTGATTAGATATAGAAGAAATAGACAAGGAAAAGGCTCTATAGGAGGGAGAGAAAGAATTATAAGAGACAAAACTAGATAAAGGGTGTTTGGTGGTGCAAGATCTGACTCCTTTTCTATGAGCAATAGGCACATCTAACTCATTAGGAAATGTAGATAACTCTGCGGTAGAAGAAGGTTCAGCTTAACTAGATTGCATGACGGCTTCTTCAGCTCTATTTCTCTTTGAGTAAGTTTTCAAATCAGGCCTATCCAAACGCCCAATAGTCTCCCCCTGAATTCTTTCTCCAATTTCACTTTTCCTTGTGACAATGATATCAAGAGGTCCAACAATGGAACTAGGTAGAATCATCTCTTCCTCCTTACTGCTCTCCTCCTGAAGAGGTGATGAGATAATACTGAAATAGGGCTCATATTCTCGAAAGGTACCATCCATGCTACCAAAAGATCTCTTATAGGGATGATAACATTTGTAACCTTTTTGTATCGGAGAATACCCAATGAAAACAACTTTATAGCTCTAGGATCAAATTTCCAGAATTCCTAGTTTGGACAAAGCAAACACACCCAAACACTTTTGGAGGAATAGTATATTCATTCCTACCCTTTAAAACTTCCTGAGGAATAGAGATCGAAGTATATCTTCTTGAGAATTCATCAGCAACAATGCTCTCATATTTAACTAGATCATAACCATAGATGGAATTTGTGTTGAGATTTCATGTTCCTACATATTCTTGAAAATATTTATCCTTTGGGTACATAACATGTCCTACTCCTAATACATACGGGATTAGGGTTATTTACTACTATTTACATAACTATTCTAACACTCCCTCTCAAGCTGGTGCATATAAATCATATGTACCGAGCTTGTTACATATGTAGTTAATACGAGGACCAGTGAGGGACTTGGTGAAAATATCTGCAAGCTGATCATTCGACTTCACAAACTTTGTAGCAATATCTCCCGTGAGTATCTTTTCTCTGACAAAGTGACAGTCAATCTCAATGTGTTTAGTTCTCTTGTGGTGGATTTGACGCAATATGAAGAACAACTTGATTATCACACACAAGTCCTATCTGACTAATCTCACCAAATTTCAACTTCTTGAGTAATTGTTTGATCCAAATTAGCTCACATGTCGCCATAGCCATTGCTCGATATTCTGCTTCGGCACTAGACCGAGCAACCACATTCTGTTTCTTGCTCTTCCAAGATACCAAATTTCCTCCTACTAAGACACAATATCCAGACGTAGAAAGTCTATCAGAAGGTGATCCTGCCCAATCAGCATCTGGGTATCCAACGATCTGCTCATGGTCTCGATCCTCAAACAATAAACCTTTGCCTGGAGCTGATTTTATATACCGAAGAATGCGAACAACTACATCCCAATGACTATTACACGGAGAATCCATAAACTGACTCTCAACACTCACAGGAAAGGAAATGTCAGGTGTTGTCACCGTAAGGTAATTTAATTTACCAACCAACCGCCCATATCTTGCAGGATCGCTAAGAGGCTCCCCCTATCCTGGCAGAAGTTTAGAATTCGGATCCATCGGAGTGTCAACAGGTCTACAACCTGTCATTATTGTCTCCTCAAGAATATCTAAGGCATACTTCCGTTGTGAGATCACAATACCTGAGCTAGACTGAGCGACCTCGATACCCAGAAAATACTTTAGTTTGCCCAGGTCCTTAGTCTGAAAGTGTTGAGAGAGATGTTGCTTCAATTTAGTAAATATCATCTTGATCATTGCCGGTAATAACAATATCATCAACATAGACCACCAGATAAATACAGAGACTCGAAGCAGAGTGCCGATAAAACACAGAGTGATCAGCTTCACTCCGAGTCATGCCAAACTCCTGGATAACTGTGCTGAACTTACCAAATCAGGCTTGAGGAGATTGCTTTAGACCATAAAGTGACCGGCGCAAGCGACATACAAGGCCACGAGACTCCCCCTGAGCAACAAACCCAGGTGGTTGCTCCATATAAACTTCATCCTCAAGGTCACCGTGTAAAAAGACATTCTTAATGTCCAGCTGATAGAGAGACCAATGGCGAACAACAACCATGGATAGAAAAAGGCGGACTGATGCTACCTTAGCCACGGGAGAGAAGGTATCACTGTAATCGAGCCCAAATATCTGAGTATATCCCTTGGCAACAAGACGGGCCTTAAGGCGATCAATCTTGCCATCCGGACCAACCTTGACTGCATATACCTAGTGACAACCAACAGTAGATTTACCTGAAGGAAGAGGAATGAGCTCCCAAGTACCACTCGTATGTAAAGCCGACATCTTGTCAGTCATAGCCTGTCGCCATCCTGGATGAGACAATGCTTCACCTGTAGACTTAGGGATGGAAACAGAGGACAAAGAAGATATAAACGCATAATAGGGTGATGACAAACGATGATAACTTAAACCGATATAATGGAGATTAGGATTACGGGTGGTCCGTATACCTTTCCGAAGTGCAATCGGTGTACTAGGAAGAGACAAGTCCGCAGTAGGAGCAGGGTCAGGTGCAGGACGTGAATCAGCTGGGCGTGATGCTGGGCGCGGACGACGATGATATGTCAAGAGTGGTGTTCCTGTGGCGGGGAATCTAGGAGGAGCAACACTAGACTCCCCAATGGTTGGAATGGGTAAAACTTCTATGGCGGAAGGTGAAGGGGAAACTATAGTAAACTCCTTAAAGGTCGGTATAGGTAAGACCTCAGATATATCAAGATGGTCAGAATGGTCAGAAGAGGTAAAGAAAGGTTTAGACTCAAAAAATGTGACGCCAGATGACATAAAGTACCTACGAAGATCAGGTGAGTAACAACGATATCCCTTCTGAACACGAGAATAACCAAGGAAGACACACTTGAGAGCACGGGGAGCTTACTTATCTTTCCCAGGGGCTAAGTTATGAACAAAACAAGTGCTCCAAAAAACACGAGGGGGAACATAGTATAAGGGTGACTGGGGAAACAATACTGCATATGGAATCTGATTCTGGATGGGAGATGAAGGCATCCGATTAACCAAATAACAAGCTGTGAGAATTGCATCGCCCAAAAAACGCAACGAAACATGAGATTCAATGAGAAGTGTGCGAGCAGTCTCAATGATGTGCCTATTCTTTCTCTCTGCAACCCCATTTTGCTGAGGGGTATAAGGACAAGAGGTTTGATGAATAATTCCTTGAGAAGTCATAAACTGCTGAAATTGAGAGGATAAATATTCTAAGGCATTATCACTGCGAAAAGTGCGAATAGAAACACCAAATTGATTTTTAATTTCAGCACAAAAATTCTGGAATATAGAAAACAACTCAGAACGATCTTTCATTAAGAAAATCCATGTACATCTTGAATGATCATCAATGAAACTAACAAAATAACGAAATCTCAAGGTTGAGCTGACTCTACTAGGACCCCATATATCAGAATGAACTAAAGAAAAAACAGACTCTGCATGACTCTCAATACTACGAGGAAAGGAGGTTCGGGTATGTTTCCCGAGCTAACATGACTCACACTCTAATGTAGATAAACTAGACAAACTAGGCACTATCTTCTGAAGCTTGGATGTCCTAAATGTCTGTGAATTAGGTTCGGAGGATCGGTAACTATACATGCCAGGGAGGAATTGAGTGAGTTAAGGTAGTAAAGGCCTTTTGATTCAAGTCATGTTCCAATCGTCTGTCCCGTACTGCGGTCCCGCATAATAAAAGAATCATCAATAAAATATATACCACAATGGAGGGCACGAGTCAAACGACTAACAGATGCAAGATTAAAAGGACAGCCAGGGACATAAAGAACGGAATCTAGAGTGACAGAGGGTAGGAGATTCGCTTGTCCAACAANTGCTTTTCAATACTAGCAGAAACTGGCATCAACGTCTCAAATTCTTCCATGACTGCCTGTACTCCCAAGTAAGTAGACATATCCAATTCCTGTTTCTTCAAGCTTGTCATTCGCGATATTACATCATAGAAACAAGATATGTCATTAGTGTATAAATTATGAGCCTTTTCCCAAACTAAATAACATGTCTGGAGTGGACGGAACAAGGGCATCAACTTGGAATCAATAGATCGCCACATGATACTACATAACTGAGCATCGACCTTCTCCCAAAGTGTTTTGACCTTTTCATCACCTTCGCTAGCCTTTTTTGTTAAATGATCTTGAACTCCTTGATCTTTACACCACAACTCGACAGACGAAGCCCAAGCTAAGTAGTTCGAACTTCCCATTAAAGGTTCTGAGGTAATCATAACACCGGAACTGCCAGAACCCAGGTTTTTAGACCCGAAAGCATCGACTCCCAAAGACATCGTTGGATTGAAGTGAGGTCTATAAAATTATTACCAAATAACAGAAAGAATCAATTGAAAACTCGCTGAAACAGATGAAGGAGGCACTGTTTTTGTCGGGAAATTACTGTAGCTGCCGGAAAAAATCAGTGTAGTCGCCGGAAAAACTCAAAGTGGTCAGAATCAAACGAAAACAGTATGGGTGGGGTCGGAATTGGTACACGACCCAACTGTTCTGAAGAAAGTTTTTCAAAAAATGGCTGGAGGATGCTGCACGCGCCGGCACGTGAGCTTCTGGTGGCGCGTGGGAGGCTGTTGCCGGAGATTTTTCTAGGGTTTGGTCGCCGGACAGTGGTGACTCTTGTGGTAGTGTTGGATTTTGCACAACACTGACAGAGACAATGCAGACGCAAAACAACCTTGAAAAAGTCGCCGGAAAAAGGCTTCCGGTGACTGATTTCTCTTCCCGGAATCGCTGGAATTTATGCATAGCGATAAATCTCTCACAATTGCTCTGATACCATGTGAGAAAGCACGGGTTAAAATATTATTGATATTATTCTCATATGTTAAATATAATACAATGAGCCCTATATATATACATAACATGTCCTACTACTAATACATATGAGATTAGGGTTATTTACTACTATTTACATAACTATTCTAACAGGGGGCAAGAAAAAAGCTGGAACAAAATATGAACTCAAACCCTCCATTATGGACTCCTTTTTAAGCAGCCCTTCCTCTCGTACTTGCAAAATTTCATGGACTTCTGGATTAATGCAATATGTTGCCTCGTTTGGAAGGATAAAATCAACAATCAAATCAATATTATGTTGAACATCTCTATTAGGTGAAAAGTTAAGCTCACATATGGGATGCTCCAACGGATCATCATCAAACTTCGGAGGTAAATCCTCAGCTTGTGGATTTAGTGCATGCTCCTCCTTCTTGTGCTCTTCCATAGTAATACCAACATTCAAAGACTTTTCTCTATTGATTGGACCAAATGTTTGTAATTTGGTCACAAAAGAATCATTCTTGGTCTTCGGATTTTTAGCAATTTCTTCGGGATTCAATGGTACTAAAATACTCTTACGTTCATCCTTTGTAAAAGAATAGGTGTTAAGGTCTTCATCATATTTAGCACACCTATCAGACACCCATCGTCTTCCAAGTAATAAGTGACACGCATTCACTACGTCACACCAAATCTGGTCTTTGTAAATATTGCCAATAGAAAAAGAGACTAGGCATTGACGAGTTACCTCTAAACCATCATCACCTTCAACTTCGATGTTGTAAGGATATGGATGAAGTTTGGTTGACAAACTAAGCTCAATAACAATCTCTTCAGAAACGATATTTATGTGACTCCCACGATCAATGATCAATGAACAAACTTTTCCATGGGAGGTACATCTAGTGTGGAAACGAGATTCATGTTGTCTCGTTTTTTTATCTTCTTGAACCAAGAATCTTCCTCTTAGTTGAATCTTAGACATGATGATTTCTCAACCTTTGGACCTGTGGATTATAGCTCTGATACCAAATTGATGTGATTTTTTGAGTTAATAAAGAACCAACCGACCAGGATCAAGGTCTTGAAACGAAAACGTGAATTGTGGGTTGATTTCAAGAAACAACGTATCTCAAGTTTTAGGACTCAGAATCTGATGATTCAAAACGAGGTGAAAGATAACGATCTGAACTATAAGAAAGACTATTTACTCGTTCAAAACAAGTAAATATTGATGCTGCACCAATTCAATGAAAGTTATGATTCTATGATATCAAAAGAACGAATTTAGATCAAGAAACGTGTTCTTGAAAGATCAAGAACTAAAAAAGTTCCTAAAGTCACCACTTGGAACTAAAAACTATCTGGCATAATCCACGAGGGCTGGTTCTAGAAGTTATTGTTGCTTTATGTGTGTTAATATGGATGGTAAAATTGATTACGTGAAACTAAAGAATAATAAATTAATGCAATGGGTGAAATCATGACTGGGATTGGTATCAACATGTTATGAGGTCAGACCATAGAACAAAAATCATAACTGATCTAAAACGTGTTCATTACCCTGGAATCAATAAAGTGAATTGTGTTGGGAGATGTCTCCAAATCCCATCTACACAGACCTTTTTTGGAACTTCAAACCAAATATTATATGCAAATATTGAGTCAATTTTTATTTTATTATTTTGTCCATCTTTTCAACTTCAACTTGAAATAGAGAATTTGAAGTTGATAAAATTGTTTGAGGAGTATTTCAAGTGAAATGATTAACAGTCTACTCCAACTTTTCTCCAAGTGAAGTTCATATCCAAAACACAAACTAGCTTCCAAATACTTTTTTCTAACTTCAAGTTCAAATGCGCAGTTGTTTTAATTTCAACCAAATATTGTACAAATGGGGTATAGCTGCTGATGTGTTCCTAGCTAAATATTCAGAAATCTTGTTTTTGTATTTCCTTTCACTGTCCAGAACTTCTGGTTCAGCTCCATCAACCAAGCTCATCTCTGTTTAACATGTGCTCTATAAGATTTTCTGAGGATTTCAAGTATTACATCCAACATTGTTAGGCATTGATGAACGAGATTATTTTCTTGGCTTGGTGCAGGGACAAATTTGACAGAGCGATTCCGTGATCAATTCAGTCCCTTGTTGATTGATCAAAATGTGCCATGGTCATTGTCCAATTCTACTGTCATACGCATGCCTTTTTCACCAGAATGCATGAAAGATGGAGTTGAATTTGGCCTGAAGAAGATTTCAATGATACTTGATAAATTCTTAAATAATGCTTCTGCAACGATCTTGTTTTTGAAGTCAGTTTTGCAGGTAATGCTTCTCTATTTTCAAGTTGGATGTGTTAATACCTTTAACTTTTTTAAGTGGTACCTTAGTTTATTTCCAATCTTTTACCTGTTAAGGTAGAGTGGTTACTCAAATATAGATTTTTTTTATGAAGTACCCAGTTATAGATCATCTTGCGTGATGAGTTATTTATCATGGCTAAAAGTAAATAACTATAAATAAATGTTTGTGCATTTTAAAACCAATTATCCAAAAACAACTACTATAATTATGCCTCAATTTCAAACTAGTTGGGTTTATGTGAATTCTCGTACCTATTCTGTCCATTTGGGACCATTTATTTCCTGAACAAATTAACTTGTTTTTAGGACAAATTAGAGGTTACGCAAAACTAGGAATTTCTAAATTTCGCAATTAACCATATACTGACATAGAATCTCTAACAAAACTAAAAATACCCATGTCAAACACTGCCCAATGTAAGTGTTTAAATGACAACTAAACCTTAAGTTCAACTAGTTGGCATGTCTATATGGATATTGCTTCCATTGTGCTTTGTCCTTCGTCAAAATCCACATGGAATCTAAAAGCTGTAGGTCATTTGAGAAAACTTCGTCATGTGGTCTTAGATTTATCTTTGTTAACACAATAAGTTTCGTGGTATTACAACTACAGACTAATGTATTTGGAGGTCTACATAGGCATGATAATATTGTCTCGGGCAGCCTTCTATCATTTCTAATCTTGTGTTATCTAGTATGAGTTCGCATCCATCTAAATCCGCATTTTTACAACATTCATCTTGTGGGTATGCTGAGCTTTAAAGACCCAATATTCAATCCCATTAAAAATTCGTTGGTCTCACCATTTTCCTGTATATCTTTCCTTTCATCTTGCTAGGTAGGGCCCTATTGCGTACTGCTACAGTAGCACTCCTCTATTTCAGCTTTCTTATTCAATTCCACATGATAGATCTTCGTCTATTGTGTCATTCTACTGAAAAATTGAGCCTAGATCTCTTAATTGTTTACATTTAAACTCCATGGTCCTGGCCAATCTCCCAAAAACTTCATTCTTTTTACGCTGGCTAAAATTGAGTGGATACGTTTTAATTCTACTTATCCTTAAGGATGGCTAATTATCCTATGATTTATTTCGCACAAGCTTTTGCTTAATATTTTGAATTAATGTTCACATATCCTTTATTGATCTCATCTCCATAACTTTGTTCAGTATGTGAAACAACATTTTCAGATTTCATTGTCAATTTGGAATTGCTGTATGCATATTTCTTTGTGGATCTGATCTACATAACATTGTTCTTTTCATGAAACAATATTTTTCAGATTTCATTGTCAATATGGGAGCAAGGAAGCCCTCAACCATCCTTGGATTATTCTGTTGACATTGATCCGTTGTATTCAGTTAGTAGAAACCCTTTCCCGGAGAAGAAGTGGAAAAAGTTCCAGATATCTAGTCTATTCAGTAGCTCAAATTCTGCAATCAAGCTACAAGTCATAGATGTGAATTTTTGGAAACAAGGAACTAAAATAGTTGACCGTTGGCTTGTTGTGCTTAGTCTGGGTTCAGGACAAACAAGAAACATGGCACTTGACAGGTAGATTGCTAGATGAATTGAACTATGTACAGTGAGCAATTTTATTTTCCCTACACCCGAAGGTGAATGGTCCTCTTTTGACTTGGGCACACCTGGTGGTCATAGAAAGTAGTACTGTTTTTTTGGAAAAAGTAAGAAGGTACTCCCTCTGTTCCAGTTTGTGTGAACCTATTTCCTTTTTGGTCCGTTCCAAAAAGAATAACCCCTTTCTAAATTTAGTAACAATTTAATTTAAACTTACCATTCTACCCTTACTGAGAAGCTTTTATAACCACACAAATACTCTGGGCCCCTTTTTGACTTGTTTAGGACCATAAATTCCAAAAGTCTTCATTTTTTCTTAAATCTCGTACCTAGTGAAACAGGTTCACATAAATTGGAACGGAGGGAGTATAAGTTAGTGTTAGGAGTGTATTTATAAAAAATACAATAGGGTAGAGCTTGAAGGGAATTAAACTTATTTATAAAAAAATCCAATATGGTAGGGCTTTAAGGGAATTAGACATTGTTTGGGACTGGCAATGAGGGAGGTTTGGACAAACTAGAATGGAATATGTGTTTAACGGTGTGATTGTCCGTCTCTAACAGTAGTTTCTTTTTATTATTATTTTTGGGCTTTTGTGAGAAAGAGCACGGGAAATATACATTATTGATATGCTTCATTTACTATAATACAAGGAGTCTATTTATATGTACACTGTACAAATCCATACTATTCCTATTCCAATGTGGGACTCAGCGTACTAATATATACATAAACTATCTAACTGCCCCTTTAAGCCAGCGCATATGTATGTGCCAAGCTTGTTATAAATGTAACTAATACGAGGACCAGTAAGACACTTGGTGAAAATATCTGCAAGCTGATCATTTGAATTTCACAAACTTATTAACAATATCTCCGGAGAGTATCTTTTCTCTGACAAAATAACAATCTAACACATGATTTGATGTAACATGAACGGCAACTTGATTATCACACACCAGTTCTATCTGACTGATTTTACCAAATTTCAATTCTTTGAGCAACTGTTTTTTCCAAACTAGCTCACATGTTGATATAGCCATTGCTCGATATTCTGCTTCTGCACTAGAACAAGCAACCACATTCTATTTTTTGCTCTTCTAAGACACCAAACCTCCTACTAAAACACAATATTCAGGCGTAGAACGTCTATCAAAAAGTGATCCTGCATGCGTGTATCAAACCATCTGCTTATGACCTCGATCCTCGAACAATATTCCTTTGTCTGGGATTGATTTTATTATTGAAGAATTTGGATAACTGCATCCCAATGGATATCATAAGGAGAATCCATAAACTGACTTACAACGTTCACAGGAAAGGAAATGTCAAGTCTAGTCACTGTGAGTTAATTAAACTTACCAACGAGTCGCCGCCTATATCTTGTAGGATCGCTAAGGGCCTCCCCCTGTCCTTGTAGAAGTTTAGTATTCAGATCCATAAGAGTGTCCCTGGGTCTATAATCCGTCATTTCTATCTTCTCAAGAATGTCTAAGGCATACTTCCGCTCTGAAATAACAATACTTGAGCTAGATTGAGCGACCTCAATACCTAGAAAATACTTCTATCTGCCCAGATCCTTAGTCTGGAAGTGTTGAAGGAGATGCTTCAAACTAGTGATACCATCTTGATTATTTCACGTCAACATAAGCCACCAAATAAATACACAAATTTTGAGCAGAATGCGGATAAATCACAGAATGATCAGCTTCAGTATTAGTCATGCCAAACTCCTGAATAACTGTGCTAAACTTACCTAACCATGCTCTAGGAGATTGTTTTAGACCATAAAATGACTGGCGCAACTGATATACAATGCCACTAGACTTCCCATGAGCAATAAAATCAGGTGGTTGATCCATATAAACTTCATCCTCAAGGTCACCGTGGAGAAAAGCATGCTTAATGTCCAACTAGAAAAGAGGCCAATAACAAAGAACAACCATGGATATAAAAAGGCGGACATATGTTATTTTTAGCCACGGGAGAGAAAATATCACTATAATCAAGCCCAAGTATCTGAGTATAACATTTGGCAACAAGGCGGGCTTTATGGTGATCAATTTGACCATTTGAACCAGCTTTGACCGTATATACCCACCTATAACCAACAATAGATTTACCTAGAGGTAAAGAAACAAGCTCCCATGTACCACTAGCATGTAAAGCAGATATCTCTTCGATTATAGCCTGTCGCCATCTATGATGAAATAGCGTTTCACCTTTGGTCTTATGGATAGAAATAGAGGACAAATATGACACAAAGGCATAACGAGTTGATGATAAACGATGATTAACTCAAACTAATATAAATGGTATTGGATTAAGAGTGGATCTAATACATTTCCGAAGTGTGATAAATAAACTAGAAGGAGACAAGTCCGCAGTAGGTGAAGGATAAAGGACGTGATCATCTGGACCTGGTGTTGGACGCTGACGACGATGATAAGTCAGGAGTGGTGGAGCTGTAGAAGGTTGAACTGGACCCGCAATTGATGGAAATAGTGCTATAAGTGATAGGACTAGAGCTGTAGGTGGTGGAGCTGGAATTGGAGCTATAAGTGATAGAACTGAAGCGGTAGGTGGTGGAGCTGGAGCTGTGGAGGTAGATGGTACTGGTAACACCTCAGAAATGTCTAGGTGATCACCTGAATCTGTTAAGTATGGTTAGGTTTCAAAGACGGTAACATCAGCAGACATAAGGCATTGCTGGAGGTTAGATGAATAGTATCGATATCCCTTTGCATTCTTGAGTAACCTAGAAATACAAACTTAACAGCACGAGGAGCTAAGTTATCTTTTCTTGGAGTAAGGTGGTTATGAACAAAATGCGTGCTCCCAAAGACACGGGGTGGAAGAGAACAAAGGTGAGCGGGGATACAAGAACTACATCCCTCCCAATAACACAATGAAACATGAGAGCCGATTCACTAAGTCAATTAGCCAATTAAAGAACCTCCCCATCAGTGGAAACTCTTTATCCAGTCGATGAAGATCCCGAAACGGAGTCCCTAGTTCATAGGCCTGTTCCATAGCTAGCCCGGGTTGAACCATACTCCGTGGAAGCACACGTTTTGGGCCAGGCAAATCGATCAGGTCGAATAATCCTTTCCAGTTCCTGCTACCCCTCTTGCCGCTCGGCATGAATGAAGTTGAATACCCGATCTTCTCGGAGAGAGCTTAGTCTTCTTCCCTGCTTTCCTTTCTTTTTTGTTATGTTAGCGGAAGACTTAATCCTTAGAATTAGAAAGAGAGAAAAAGAGAAGTTTCAATGAGATATTTGTTCTTTCTTTCAGCTACCCTATTTTGTTGAGATGTGTATGGACAAGAGGTTTGATGAATGACCCCATGAGAGTTCATAAATTACTAAAATATGAAAGACAATACCCTGAGGCATTATCATTATGAACTGTGCAGATAGAAGCCCCAAACTCCAAATTGATTATGGATTTCAGCGTGAAAGGTCTGAAAAATAGAAAACAACTCAGATCGATTTTATATCAAGAACATCCAAGTGCACTTGGAATAATCATCAATGAAACTGACAAAGTAGTGGAATCATAAGGTAGAAGTGAACCGACTAGGACCCGAAACATCGGAGTGGACTAAAGTGAAATGTGGCTTTGCTTGATGATCAGGATGCCGAGGAAGATGGAAACGAGTATGCTTATCGAGTTGACATGACTCACACTCTAGAGCGGACAAGTGTGACAATCCGAATACCATTTTCTAAAGTTTGGATAAACAGGGATGTCTTAACCGTTTATGTAATAAATCTGGTGAAGCAGTAACAAGACAAGTCGTTAAAGGAGGATAAGGTGTGAGTTCATATAATTTATCAAGGATAAGATAATAAAGTCCATTTGATTCATGCCCGCTACGAATAATCTATCCCGTACTGCGTTCTTGTATAAAAACAATGTCATCAAAAAATAGAACAAAGCAGTTAAATGATTTGGCTAAGCGACTAATGAATGTGAGATTAAAAAGACTACCGGGAGCATAAAGAATTGAATTTAAAGGTAAGGAAGGAAGTGGACTCGCTTGACCTATTCCAACTGCCATGACTTGGGATCCATTGGCCATTGTGATTGTTGGAAACAACTATTGAGTAAAGAAATAGTAGTGAAAAGAGATTTGTTACCAGAGATGTGATCAAATGCACCTGAATCAATGACCTGAGAGTGGGAAGAAGATTGGAAGATACAAGTCACTTTATTACCTATATGAACAACATAATCCTATAAGATGAAGATTTTAAAAAGAAGAAAAGGCTTCTTTGTATTTCTTGATGATTTTTACATCCAATGAGAATGCACACTTATACAATGAGCCCTAAGACTAAATAAAGAGAGACAATCAATTACATATCAATTACAATAAGAGGAAATATTGTAGTATCAATTTGCTCCTACAATTAAGCTAGGAAATCTCTAATCAATCAACATTACTCCTACAATTAAGCTAGGAAATCTCTACTCAATCAACATTCCCCCTCAAGTTAATGCAAAGATGTCACACATGTCTAACTTGCAAACCAGTATATGGAAAGTCCGTTTGTTGAGGCCTTTGGTAAACAAACAACTAGCTGCTTTTCTGATGACACATGGAACAAACTTAAGATGCCACGCGTAACTTTTTTTTAAATTTATTTATGAAATATTGATCAATCTCAACGTTCTTTGTTCAGTCATGCTGGACTTGATTATGAGTTATACTGATTACGGCCTTATTATCACAATACAAGGAAAGTTTCCTGTTTTCGAACAATCTCAATTCCTCTTGTAGCTTTTGTAACCACAAAAGTTCATAGATACCTGAGCCATAACTCTATATTCTGCCTCCGCACTTGATCTAGCAACTACACTTAGCGTTTTGCTTCTCCAAGTAATAAATTTCCTTCTATGAGTGTACAGTAACCGGATGTAAATTTTTTGTGATCTCGAGACCCAGCCTAATCCGCGTTTGTAAAGGCTTCTATTTAGAGGTGACAATATTTGGAGAAATGTAGACCTTTCCCAGGAGCAGACTTCAGATACCGTAAAATGTGAAAGAAAGTATAAGATGATCTCTGAGATCATGCATGAACTAGCTCAAGAGGCTAATTGAATAGGCTATGTTTGGTCTAGTGTGAGAGATAAATGAGTCTTCCAACCAAGCTTGGAATAACTCTACAGACTTCAAGGAAAATATTGCTTCAGAAAGTGGACGAAAAAATCTAGCAGTTTGTAGGTTTCGCAAACAATCACTGTTATGGCAGTGACGAGGAAGAAGGGAGGAAAAACTCGACTACTTGATATAAATATGGAACCCTAGTGCTGTAGAGGAAGAAAACTCACCTCAAAAGGCAGCAATGGTTCTGATACCATGAAGATTTCAAGAAGAAGAAAAGGCTTCTTTGTATTTCTTGATTATTTTTACATCCCATGAGAATGGGTACTTATATAATGAGTCATCAGACTAAATAAGGAAAGACAATCAATTACACATCAATTATAGTAAAAGGAAATATTTTAGAATCAATCTACTCCTACAGTTAGGCTAGGACATTTCTAATCGGTCAACATTACTCCTACAATTAAGCTAGGAAATCTCTAATCAATCAACGGAAGATGTCTGTTTACGTGCTTTATACCGAAAGAACTCAATATAATTTAGTAGAGAAACCATCCAACGGTTCAAAGTATTTGTTGCCATTTGTTGCTGATAAGAATGGACCTTGGGCCTAACTCAATCCCAAAAGCTAGCTTATGAGGTGAGGATTGCCCAAGCCATATAAGGAGACCAAGGACCTCAAATCCCTCCGATGTGGGACAACTCAACACCCCTTCTCACGCCCAGATCTCTGGAGCGTGGACAACATAAATGGGGGCCCAACATCGGTAACAATAATTGGGATGAGTCTGGCTCTGATACCATGATAAGAATGGACCTTGGGCCTAACTCAATCCCAAAAGCTAGCTTATGAGGTGAGGATTGCCCAAGCCATATAAGGAGACCAAGGACCTCAAATCCCTCCGATGTGGGACAACTCAACAGTTGCAATCAAAATTCAAATAACCTCAGGTAATTATACCAACTTCACTTGTAAACTTGTCGAAAACAAATCATGGGTGAACAATACTGGTACAACTCTGGATAAATGCTGCAAAAGGTGAATAAACACCGGAAACACTCTGTATATTGCCGAAAAATATTGTTTAATCGCTAAAGATGAGAATTCGCTGGAAAGATTAACTGGACCTCGTTGGAACCCTAGTTTGATGGTCAGAATATATAAAGAAAGATGGATGGGTTATTTCGAGCTGGCTGGAAGACCCTAAGAACCATAAAGATAAGTTTGAATTTGGAAAATTCTTAAAATAGTTGTCGGAATCTGAAAAAGTTCACTGCAATCTAGAAAAAATCATCGGAATAGTGGAATCTGGATGGGTAGGCTCGGAATAAATAGGCGATTACCGAAGAAAAAAACTACCCGCCAGAATCTGCCGGAGCGAGTCTTCATGCGCCGGCGCATGACTGGATCTCGCTGGAAAATAACTTCTGGCCGCCGTGTGCGGGCGCGTTGGAGGTTCGATGACAATGATTTTTATTGGGTTCTCGTTGCACAAGGATTCCGATACTATTGGTGGTACTGGTGTATGCGCAACACACCTAGGAAACAGCGAATCCTCAAACAGTGGTATACTGCTGGAAAATTGCTCGGTAGTGAGGTCTTTCTTCCCGGATGTCGCTGGAATGATGCACATCGATAATTTTCTCCCTAAAAGCTCTGATACCATGTGAGAATTATTGATATGCTTCATTTACTATAATACAAGGAGCCTATTTATATCTACACTCTACAAATCCATAATATTCCTATTCCAATGCAGGACCAAGTATACTAATATATACATAAAGTATCTAACAACTTTCATTTTCAAATGTAATATCCAGTTAGAACTACGTAAAAGTACAATCCTCTGATATCATTTCCGGTAGGCCTGACATCCTTTTGTCTGATTTTGAAAACTAGACAGATGGTTACTCAGTTCCTTGAAGAATATCGTACTTGTTCAGCTAATCAAGTAAACTCCTACACAGATCAAATCCTAGCTTTTTTCTTAAAATATGTGTAATTGAAAATCATTCTAGTATGTCTGCGTGAACAGATAATGGCCTGTTGTGTAAAACAGTTGAGGACTATTTGATTATCCTTAGAAATTTGAATGCCTAGTGGAACAAAGAATACACTGCACTTTTATAGGCTTGTAATTCGCGCTTGAATCCACCATTCCCCTTCCACCCCCCAAACCATATAATATCCTTTGATATTTTACTGTAACAATTCCCTTATTAGCATGTTCTCCATCAATCTATCATTTTTGGGTCATCAGGTCGCTTACTAGCAGTTTTGCAGGCGGTACATGGCATACAACCTTACACCTGTTGGTGGTGTCGCAACACTGATATCGCAAAATGGCCAGCCTAGCAATACTTGTTCGTCAAGCTCTATCATGTCCCCACTTCCACTGTCAAGTGCTATAAACATACCAGTCACTATACTTGGATATTTCCTAGTATGTCATAATCAGGGACGCTTTCTTTTCAAAGACCAAGAAATGGAGGCTTTGGCAGGGTCGCGGTTTGATGCTGGAAATCAATTGATTGAAGCTTGGAATCGAGAACTAATGTGTTGTGTTCGTGATTCTTATTTGAAGCTGGTATTGGAAATGCAAAAGTTGAGGAGGGAACCATCAACATCTCTTCTGGAGCCTAGTCTGGCCAGAGCTGTCAGTTTGACTCTGAACGCTTATGGTGATCAGATCTATTCATTTTGGCCCAGGTCAACCAGAAATTTGCTGATTGAACAAGAGAAAATTGGAAATGATTCCACGTCAGTGAAGGTTTGCAAATCAGATTGGGAATGTATAACTCAGCAAGTTATTCAGCCGTTCTATGCTCGTCTTATCGATCTTCCTGTTTGGAAGTTGTATTCAGGAAATCTAGTGAAGGCTGAGGAAGGTATGTTTCTTTCTCAGCCTGGAAGTGGAGTGGAGGGTTGCTTGCTTCCAGCTACAGTTTGTGCGTTCGTGAAAGAACATTATCCAGTTTTCTCTGTACCATGGGAGTTGGTGAGTGAAATACAAGCCTTAGGGGTTACTGTCAGGGAAATCAAACCTAAAATGGTCCGAGACCTTCTTCGGGCTTCTTCAACATCTATTGTTCTCGGATCAGTTGAGACTTATGTAGATGTACTTGAGTACTGCTTATCAGATATTATCCAGCTTCTAGAGACCTGTGAACCAAGTGGGCCTGATTCATCCAGAGACATTAGCAACTTAGGTTCTGTTAAGGAAATTGCTGAAGGTCAGACGAATTCTTTCTCTGAATCAAGCTCCAGTTCTCTTAGAAGTCGCAACACTCTGCAACCTTCAAGCAGTTCAGGAGGAGATGCCATTGAGATGATGACAAGTTTAGGGAAGGCCTTATTTGATCTAGGCCGGGTTGTTGTTGAAGATATTGGCCGTGGAGGAGGTGCTTTATCTCAAAGGAATATTATTTCGGGAACCATCGGAGATAGTATCAGAAATAGAATTGATCAGAAGCTACTAGCTGTAGCTGGTGAACTCAGAGGGTTACCCTGTCCAACAGGAACAAATCATCTTGCTAGGTTGGGTGCTACTGAACTTTGGGTTGGAAACAAAGACCAACAATCACTAATGATTTCCTTAGCTGCTAAATTTATTCATCCTAAAATACTGGAGAGATCAATACTGGTGAACATTTTCTCTAACAGCACGATTCAGTCATTATTAAAGCTGCAAAATTTCTCCCTTATTTTGCTGGCAAATCATATGAGGTTTCTCTTCCATGAAAACTGGGTAAATCATGTGGTGGACTCAAATATGGCACCCTGGTTCTCATGGGAGAACAATGCTACTTACGCAAGTGAATGTGGTCCTTCTCCCAATTGGATTAGACTTTTCTGGAAGATGGTCGATAACTGTTCAGATGACCTAGCACTTTTTGCTGATTGGCCTCTTATTCCTGCTTTTCTTGGTCGTCCAGTCCTATGCCGTGTGAAGGAGCGAAAACTTGTTTTTATTCCACCCATTGATGACAGGGGAAGCAGAGAAGCTGATCTGTCTGGATTATCTTTGGAATCTGAAGAGATTCAATCCTACAGCTTATCATTTAAAGTTGCAGAGAGAAAATACCCTTGGTTGATGTCGCTGCTGAACCAGTGCAATATACCCATGTTTGATAACTCTTTCTTGGATTGTGCTGGTCCTTGCAAATGTTTACCCAGCGAGGAGCACTCATTAGGTCAAGTTATAGCATCCAAGCTTGTCGCAGCTAAAAATGCTGGCTACTTTCCGGAACTCACTTCCTTTCCAGATTCTGAACGTGATGAGCTTTTTGCCCTATTTGCTTCTGATTTTTCTGCCAATAGCTCTGGCTATGGAAGAGAAGAGCTTGAAGTACTGCGTGATTTGCCTATATACAAAACAGTTGTGGGAACATATACGAGATTGCAGAGTCATGACCTTTGTATGATTCCTTCTAATACCTTTCTTAAGCCATTTGATGAACGCTGTCTATCTGTCTACACTAATTCTAATGTGAAACCTCTTTTTCGAGCCCTTGGGGTCCCGGAGTTGCATGATCAACAGATTTTTGTCAAATTTGGATTGCCTGGATTCGATGGAAAGCCTCAGTCTGTACAGGAAGATATTTTAATATACCTATACTCAAATTGGCAGGATCTACAAGAAGACTCGTCAATTATTGAAGTACTTAAGGAGACCAAATTTGTTAGAAGCGCTGATGAAATGTCTGCAGAACTCTATAAACCTAACGATCTGTTTGATCCCAGTGATGCTTTATTAGCATCAGTGTTCTCAGGCATGAGAATAAAATTTCCTGGAGAAAGGTTTATTTCTGAAGGATGGCTACGTATTTTGAAGAAGGTGGGTCTTCGCACTTCAGCTGAATCTGATGTTATCCTTGAATGTGCCAAGAGAGTTGAGTCACTTGGAAGAGACTTCATTCCACCTGCAGGGATTACTGATGATCTTGAGAAAGATTTATTCAGCTCACAGGATGGAGTATCATTTGAAATCTGGTTGTTGGCTGAAAGCCTTGTGAAAGCTATAATATCAAACTTCGCTGTCCTTTATAGTAACCACTTTTGCAATATTTTTGGGAAGATTGCATGTGTTCCTGCTGAGAAAGGCTTCCCAAATGTGGGCGGTAAGAGAAGCGGAAAGCGAGTGCTGTGCTCATACTCTGAAGCTATTATATTAAAGGACTGGCAACTTGCTTGGAGTTGTGCTCCCATGCTTTCTAGGCAGAGTATTGTCCCACCAGAATACTCTTGGGGGGCTCTCAATTTGAGAAGTCCTCCAGCCTATCCTACAGTTTTGAGGCACCTCCAGGTACGGTGGTTATTTCAGTTTTAGTTATATTCAATGATACCGCATTATTAAGTCATTTAACTATGTAGAGAAACCGTTACTGTAGGTTATTGGAAGAAATAATGGTGAAGACACGCTTGCTCATTGGCCAGCTACTACAGGCCTAAAGACAATTGATGAAGCTTCCTTTGATGTATTAAAGTACCTGGACAGGGTCTGGAGTTCTCTCTCTTCTGCAGGTACATGCTTTTCACTTGTCTCTATTCAGGTTATCACATGTTTCTGTTGGGAGAAATCAGGTCAGTCAACTTCTGTTCAAAGTCCTTTTGGTTTCAACTCTAGGGACTTCTAGCAGCAAACTAGTATTGTGAGAATTAGCACACGAAAGAATATATCATTTATCAATGTATCTATATAGAATAGGAGAAGCAAATCAATGTGATGATGCCAAGTGTCACAATCAAAATTCAACGTGTCAAATTTTAGGACAAAATTAGTTAGGTTAGTTAATACTTAGTTACTCTTTTGAATTTGAATTAGAAATAATTAAATATCAATAAATAATTTCAAATTTGCTAATCAAATAGGTAAAATTAAAGACAAACATAAACAATAATTTCAATAAATAAATAAAATATATAAAAATATAATTTAACTTCTTATGTAGTAATCTTAATAAAAAAATTAAACTTTCATATTAAATACAAACGTGAAGAATAATTCAATTTAATTTCTTATTGAATAAAATATAAACATAATAATTATTAAAATTCTAAGTAGATTACGACATATAATAAAAGAACTTCTTTGTTTAACCTTTGAACTAATTCAAATCCATCCATTTAGAAAAATAATTCGTATTATAGATAAACACTATATGGAAAAAATTAATATATTGTAGAACAAAAACTAATGTATAAAGAGGAGAATAGATATATATAATGTGATTCTATCAACGCTTTAAATTTATTTGATAAAATTAATTGTAAATACATAATACTCGAAAATATTATTGATAAATTTAAATATCGAAATAATTATGAGAAAGTCATACATGATAAAATCAAGTTAACTTCAAGAGTTATACAAAATTATATTCATTATATTATATTAAATTGGTAATTTATTTAAAATTCATATGACAATTTAATTATATTAAGTAATGGATAATACAATTACTTAAGCAAGGAACAAAAAAAAGGAAATAACATATAAATTATTGGAAAATATAAAAATATAAGACTTATAATTAGAATTATGATGAGAAAAGTCGTGCATATACATGCCCCCAGGGCCTAGCTCAAGTGGCAAAGGTTGGTGGATTTGTGTCTTAGGTCACAGGTTCAAGCCCCCACACCATGCAAAGCAAAGCCTGGTATTTAAGTGGAGAAGGGTAGAGGGGCGGGCCCATTATCTACTGAGTTTCGAAGGCTGCAATTGGTCTAAAGGATCGGTCCCAGACGAATTTCTCGGTCATGAAAAAAAAAGTCGTGCATATACACATAACTAAAATCATAATAAACAAATAGTTATAAAGGAAGAATACTAAAAAAAAATAAGCGATAGTGTAAAACCGTATATACTAATTAAATATCTCATGTAAGAAATTTTAATTAATAAAGAGAACTCATAATTTCATAATAAAAAATACAAAAATATAAAGATACTATTAATATGTTATACGATAAGCACATTATATATATATTTACTAATTATTAAAAATATTAGTATGTTTTTTAAAAAATAATAATAAAAGGCTTATATCTTTATGCTTTTGAAAAATCAAAATTATAATTTAGTAAAAAATATTAAATTATTTAAACTTTCAGTAAACTACAAAGTGAGAAAGCTAATCAAATATTCCATTAAAAAAGAATGTACGAAAAGAGGGGGATAAAGATAATTTTATGATATTTATATTTTGAATTAATTTAAAAATAAAAGATAAATAAATAACACTCCAAAAAATTACTGATAAATTTTGACAATTGAAGAATTTTGAACAATATAACTTAAGTTTTAAAAAAATAAAAATATTTTATAGTAAGAATATATATATATATATATATATATATATATATATATATATATAGAGAGAGAGAGAGAGAGAGAGAAGTAGTATCAAAATAATAAGCAATTGACAAGTTAATAAAAAGTCACATTACTAAATGTATAGTACTAAGTACTAGCTAATTTAATAAAGAATAAATAAGGAAAAAATAATTTATTTGATTACTATATGTTGTATATTCTCTGCTTTTGTATAGATTTTAGTATGCTTGTGCACGGTACATCAAATAATAAAATAACAACTAGTATTTATTAAAGTAATATGATATATTAGATAATAATTTTATAAGATTAATATTTTATCAAATTATCCGCGCATCGCGCGGGTTCTAACACTAGTTAATTATAATACTTCGGGTCCTATTTATAACTATACACAATACATATCCTATTACTATTTCATGTGGGGCGAGGACTAATTACATGTTAATTACATAACTATCTAAACTCCCCTTCAAGACGGTGCATACAAATTATATGTACCGAGCTTGTTACATGTGTAACCAATACGAGACTAGTAAGGGAGTTGGTGAAAATATCGGCAAGCTGATCATTCGACTTCACAAGCATTGTAACAATATCTCCTGAGTATATCTTTTCTCTAACAAAGTGAAAGTCATTCTCAATATGTTTAGTTCTCTTATGGAATACCGGATTCGATGCAATATGAAGGGCAACTTGATTATCACACACAAGTTCCATCTTGCTGATTTCACTAAATATCAACTCCTTGAGCAATTGTTTGATCCAAACTAGCTCATATGTTGCGATAGTCATTGCTCGATATTCTGCTTCTGCACTAGACGGAGCAACCACATTCTGTTTCTTGCTCTTCCAAGATATCAAAATACCTGCTACTAAAACACAATATCCAGACGTAGAACGTCTATCAGAAGGTGATCCTGCCCAATCAACATCTTCGTATCCAGCGATCTGCTCATGGTCTTGATCCTCAAACAATAATCTTTTGCCCGGAGCTGATTTTATATATCGAAGAATGTGGACAACTGCATCTCAATGACTATCACATTGAGAATCTATAAACCGACTCACAACACTCACAGGAAAGGAAGTGTCAGGTCCAGTCATTGTGAGGTAATTTAATTTACAAACCAGCCGCATATATGTTGCAGGATCGCTAAGCGGCTCCCTCTGTCCTGACAGAAGTTTAGAATTTGGATCCATAGGAGTGTTAGCAGGTCTACGGCCTGTTATTCCTGTCTCCTCAAGAATGTCTTAGGTGTAGTTCCGTTGTAAGATTACAATACCTAAGCTAGATTAAGCGACCTCAATACCTAGAAAATACTTTAATTTGCCCAGATCCTTAGTTTGAAAGTGTTGAAAGAGATGTTGCTTCAACTTAGTAATACTAGCCTATTCATTGCCAGTAATAACAATATCGTCAACATAAACCACCAAATAAATACAGAGATTTGAAGCAGAATGCCGATAATATAGACAGAATGATCAGCTTCACTACGAGTCATGTGAAACTCCTGAATAACTGTGCTGAACTTACTAAACCAGGCTCGAGAAGACTGCTTTAGACCATAGAGTGACCGACCGACCCAACCAACATACAAGGCCAGTAGACTCCACCAAGCGACAAACCAGGTGGTTGCTCTATATAAATTTCTGCAAGCGGAAAAGTAATTCAGGTATGTTCCCCAAGGCGACACGACTCACAATCTAATGTAGACAAACTAGGCATTATCTTTTGAAGATTGGATAAACTCGAATATCCTAAAAGTTTGTGAATTAGGTCCGGAGAATCTGTAACTGGACATGATATGGAGAGATTGAGTGAATTAAGGCAATAAAGGCTGTCCCGTACTGCAGTCCTACATAATAATAAAAGAATCATCAATAAAATACATATTACAATGGAGGGCACGAGTCAAGCGACTAACAGATGCAAGACTAAAAAGGACAGCTAGGGACATAAAGAACATAATCTAGAGTGATAGAAGATAGGGGATTAGTTTGTCCCAACTCCTTTTGCTTTAGTTTAAACCCATTGGCTAAAGTAACAGTGGGAAGAGACTGAATACATAATATTCGATAAAAAGTGATTTATTACCAGAGATATGTTTAGAAGCGCTTGAGCCCATCACCTACGGTCCAAGAATAGTAAACGGGGAAACACAAGCAAAAGAATTACCAGCAACAAAAGTATTAGTCTGAGCAACTGAGGCTACTTGTAGAGATGTCTGCTTACTTGCTCGATACTGAAGGAACTCATTATATTCCCCTTCAGATAAAAAAAATCTCTGGTTACCTATGGTCTCGGTCTGAGCAACATGAGAATTTCTGGGTGGTCGACCATATAAAGAATAGCACACTTTACGAGTATGTCCAAGTTTATTACAATAAAACACTTGGGTCGAGATCTTCTAAAATGAGCTTTTCCTCGTCTATTCTCCGTAGTTTGAGATGCCAAATTTTCCACTGTCTGGGATGCGAGTAGATGTGTTTTTGCCGGTGTGATTTTGTGGGGTATGGTCGCCTGTGATAGGGGAATCTTGTGGTAGTGTTGGATTTTGCACGACACTAAAGAAAAAAGGAGATAATGCAAAACAACTCTAAAAGGTCGCTAGAAATTGAAGCATGGCGATTGCTTGGCTGGGTTTTCTTTCTTAGATGTTTCTCACTCACGCTCTGATACCATGTGAGAATTAGCACAGGAAAGAATATCTTATTTCTCAATTAATTATAATACAATGAGCCCTATTTATAACTATACACAATACATATCCTATTCCTATTCCATGTGGGACTAGGACTAATTATATATTAGTTACATAACTATCTAACAAGTATAAACAAAAAGGTGATGAAGCAATTTACTTCAAACCATTTCATTGGTATAGCAAGTTGATAAAGCAACCCTCTTCCCTGCTGATTTTATTCCCTTCATTTAGAACGCTGACTTACAAATCCAACTGTGAAGGTACTTTATGTGTTGGGTTAACCCTTATATCACATTTAGTTGTATTGTCAAACATTGTAGCAATGATTGCGTTGGTGACTTATGTGTTGATTCCTTTCTAATCATTATCCCATCCCTGCTTTACAACTGTTTAACACTAACTTATTGGAAAAGTATGGCTGGAGGCTTGGGAATTCGTTTGTGTGATTAGCAATTCCTCTGCTTTTATTGGCTCAATCACTGCTACATTGTTTCATTGCGTAGTATGATTAATTTGGCGTTTGGTGATGATCCAAGCATCAAGTTGCATTTTTTATTTTTTTTCAGTGAATCTTATAGTAGGTGGGTTGTAAAAGTTGTCATTAAGCTGTCATGGAAGTAGATCAATATCTTGCTATCATAATGAGGAATAAAAGTGCTCCGCAGTACGTATGTGCACAGCGAGCTTAAATCAACATATAAGTCTCCAGAAATTATTGACTGGAACATGTGTACTGATTGCTCATTTCTAGTTACTATGTTCAAGAAGCAGAGAAAGCATTGATTCATTTGGCTGTACTGTTTAGCAGATGCAATCTGGTTATACAGAGTAATAAATTGGACTTGCAATAAATTGATCTTACTTTGGTTTTATTGAATTTCCTAGTTTGTTGAAGCCTGGACGACAGAACAATCTGGAATATAATACGAATTCTTTGCGTAGCACATGAACCACATGTGTTTATTGTCATATTCATGTCTGGTACTCATGTAATGGTAGTTGGATTCGAGTCCAGCACTAGCAAGTGGGGATAGTGATCCTTAATTATTGTGTTTTAATTCTCGGACATAAAGTTTACTCAATTTATTGGACAACAAAATACACTAAATGTGTATAAATTATTTCCCAATTGAATGTATTTAGAGCCATACTATAATTTAGAAAGGCAAAAATGACGTACTATAAGTTACAGATTTGAATTCACAAGCTTGTTATGAGAATCAAAAAATCATTTAACCAAACTTATAGAGCAAAGAAGAGAGTGAGTTGCCTCCTATCCCAAATTAAAGCATATTTTGAGACTCTTATGGATATAGCCATATGGTGCAGAACAATGTCATGTTTTGCCTCTCTTGTTTCACGGGCTGCTTCTTCCATTATCATCTTCTTCTACTAACTTTCAGAACTTATATAGTTCAAATCAATTTGATGGAAATATGCGTAAATTGTAAAATGAATCAACCTTTTTTCAAAGTGCTTTACGGTGATCTGCTTCCCATTATGACCAACAAGTGTTTTGGGACAATCAAGGCCCCTGGTGCATTGAGGTGCATGAGTTGCCTCACCTCAAGGTGCTTCTTTCAAGTAACTTTGAAAGTATTAATTAGTATTGGCTGCGTAGGGAGTGTCTGGGGAAGGAGTCAAGGATCTTATGATTAGGTAATTCTGTGGTTTCTTCACTTAGCATAATGTGCCAAATGTCGTTGCCTTTTGCATTCTCATAAGTGAAACTTTTCCCAAATGTGTCGTAAACATGTCAATTAAAGAAAGGCACACCTGGAAACATATTGGCAATTTGATATGGCAGCAATGAATATTGATGTCAATCAGCACATTACTAGACAAGTTTGAACCATGTTTATGAGTAATATATTCGTCACTAAAACTATCACATGAACCATAGGAGTGGTGGATTTAAGGAGTTGGCTTAGGCGGCAAGGTTCGCTTTCCCATTGTAAGAGTGCTGGTGGCATGAGTAGTAAGGATACCTGACCATTTCAGTTTGGAATTTTTGCTTTCTTTTTCTCCTGAAAGACTGACTTCATTCGCATTATATTGATTTGAAGTAGATAAGCTGTGTTATGCGCATTTCTGGTTCTGTTTGTCAGCTGATGAAATTTTGTTCTGCATCTTTTCTTTTCCTTGCCAGACAAGGAGGCATTGCGTCTAGTGGCCTTCATGCCTGCCGCAAATGGTACACGTTTGGTGACAACAAGCTGCCTTTTCACACGTCTGACAATTAATCTTTCCCCATTTGCTTTTGAACTCCCTTCACTCTACCTGCCTTATGTGAATATCCTTAAAGACTTGGGCCTTCAGGACAATCTTTCTATCTCTTCCGCAAAGACCCTGCTTTTGAATCTTCAAAAAGCATGTGGATATCAGCGTTTAAATCCAAATGAATTCCGTGCTGTGATGGAAATTGTGCATTTCATCTGTGATCAAGCAAACACTTCTGACATGAGCACTTGGTGTTCTGAAGCAGTTGTCCCTGATAATGATTGCAGACTTGTACATGCTAGGTCATGTGTATACATAGATTCTTATGGTTCTAGCTACATCAAGTATATTGATATTTCCAAGCTGAGGTTTGTCCACCAAGATCTCCCTGGAAAGTTATGCATTGCCTTTGGAATAAAAAAGCTCTCGGATGTGGTTATAGAGGTACCCAAGAGGATCTGGTTACTTATATAAATTTCTACTCTACATAAGATTCTGGTCATGTTCGTGCACTGAAGAATTCATATTTGCTATATGTACTTGAATTTTTTCACCCCCATTTCTTCTCTGAATGATTAAATCTACACTAACAAGTTCTTCCTGTATTCCCGCAAGATTTTGGTCTCTCATATGATGTTAATGGGCTATTTCCAGGAAATATATTGTGAAGAACCTTTGCAAACTTTGGAATGCATTGGATCAGTTCCAGTAGAGGCTATAAGGCACAAGTTGTTGAGCAGATCTTTTCAAGCTGCAATGTGGACGGTGGTCAGTAGCACGGCAAGCAACATTCCTAGCATTGATCAGGCTACCTTTGAGGTCATGCGAAGTTCATTGAAATTGGTTGCAGAGAAGTTGAAATTTGTTCAATGTCTATATACACGCTTTGTGCTCCTTCCAAAATCTTTGGATATAACTCAAGTTAGACAGGAATCGTTGTTCCCGGAGTGGAAGGATACATCACGTAACCGGGCCCTTTACTTTGTTGAACAGTGTAAAACTTCTGTGCTGATTGCCGAACCACCAGACTATGTCTCTATTGCTGATGTAATAGCAATTGCTGTAAGCAGGGTTTTGGACTTCCCCATCTCATTACCAATGGGCTCTCTATTCCTCTGTCCTGAGGGCTCTGAGACTGCCCTTGTCGATATCTTGAAACTTTGTTCTCAGATGCAAGCTAATGGAAGCAAAAGTGAAAAAGATGGTCTTCTTGGCAGGGAACTATTACCCCAAGATGCTTTACAAGTGCAATTTCACCCATTAAGACCTTTTTATGCTGGAGAAATAGTAGCTTGGCGGCAGCAGAATGGAGAAAAGTTGAGGTATGGTAGAGTTATAGAGAATGTGAGACCGTCAGCAGGCCAAGCACTCTACAGATTCAAGGTAGAAACATCACCGGGCTTGGTTGAGCTTCTTCTGTCTGCTCATGTCTTCTCGTTCAAAAGTGTCACAGTCTCTGGTGAGGATTCCTCAGCTGATTTCTTGGAGGATTCTGTTACAATGGACAGTACCAGGAGTGAAGGTGTTGCTGGAAGAGTTAAATCAAGACCTTCTGAGGTACATATCCTTGCTAAATTTCTGATTTAGAATCCAATGGTTTACATTTTATAGTAGCAGTTCATTTTTTAGTGATTTGAGCAAAAACATGTCAGTAAAACTAGTAGATAATTTTTCAGTTTATGCCCTTGATATTCATGGGTGGAATAAAGAATAAGGTGAAAGTCTATAGTTTTTATTTGTGGAGTGAGGTCATCCTTGTTATTAAGGGAGAAAGTATGGACCTGAAAGATGGTGTACGCGTTGGCACTGTATTGTGTGCTAAAGGAAATTAGAGAATCCTCTCTGCATTTTGGCTTGTTGGAATTTATTTTAAGATACAAAATTTCCTATTTTGAGAATGTTTGCTGCTAGAATGTATCTCTTTTCAGTGTTTCTATGTAGTAGCTAGCACCTGAGTAGCTGGATCACTTGAGCACCATGAGCTTTGCATTATAAATTTCCACTGCTCTTTCTGCATCTCACCTTGTTTCTTCTAAGATAGCTCAGTGGAGAAATTGACGCAACCTGAGGGCTTTAGTTCTTGAATTCATCTTTCCTGCTATGGAATTTTTTTTTTAACTCTCTTGATCTGAAAATTTCTACTCTCTAGTAAGAGATCAATCTTTTGTTCTTTCCCAAATGTTACTTCTGAGTGAAACTCGGAAAGCCTTTCCGTTCCGGTATATGTAAGCCTCTTCGAGTAAGATAAAAAAAAGAGCTTGCTTGGATGTTATTCAGGGCAGCTGGTCTTCTTTTTTTTCATTGTTTCCCTTTACAGTGTTGGAATTCATAAATATGAACAACTTGAGCAAACCAACGTTTAATATGAACCCTAGTAAAACCACTTCTTTAGCATGGTGTGTGAATATGTCTTTTAGGGATCCTTCTGAAAGAGCTCTTTGATCCACAGTTCAGCGTCAATAGGTATCTTTGTTGCTTTTAGAAAAATAAGACTCAAAATATGTCGAATTATGCGTCCTTTAAAATCCATTGTGATGTGATTTTTAGAGGAACTCTTTCTCATTTTCCAATAGAACAAGTAAGACTTCTATGGTTAGTGTTTTTACCACTTTTTTATTTTTTTATTTTTTAATATTGTTAAGAAACATGGATCCTGGATCTAACTTATCCTAAAAGCTTGCTCAAGTGGTGAGGATCGTCCAAAACGATAAAAAAGAGATTACGGCATGTTGAAGTGTGTGACCATCTCAACCAAAAACTTAAGTTGTTAGAGAGAACACACTTTCATTTACTTAATTATGTCTTCAACATGCCCCTCACGCGCGGGCTTGATTCTTTTTGATGAGCCAAGCATGTGGAAATTCTTTTTCATATTGAGTGGCGGTGAGACTCCAATTCAGGACCTCTGGATGCTCTGATACCATGTTGAAGTGTGTGACAATCTCATCTAAAAGTTTAAGTTGTCAGAGAGAACACACTTTTATTTACTTAATTATGTCTTCAATACGGACCATGCGCTTAATTGGTGTAGGATTATAACAACCCTCATATGCCCAAGGGTGGACATCTGAAGCGTGGAGTAGCATAACATGTGCCTTGATACCATGTTGCGAAAAATGAGACCTAATTCACCTATAAGTTAGCTCAAGTGCTGAAAATTGTCCAAAAGTCATATAAGGAGAATAATTTTTTTTTTTTAAAAGGGCCATATAAGGAGAAAATAGTCCATACAGTTAACCGACTGGATTCTAACAAATAGTTTGCTCAAGGTCTATTTTTTGCGAAATTGGTCTGAAATTTTGTTACTTATAGAGTTAAGTGATGCTTCTGATAGGGGAACCAGCAGCAGCAGCTTCAAGCACTCCAGCATGGCCGAGTGTCTGCTGCAGAATTGGTCCAGGCAGTTCAGGAGATGCTTTCTGCAGCAGGAATCAGTATGGATGTGGAGAAGCAATCATTACTAGAAACAACAATCACATTGCAAGAGCAATTAAAGGAGTCCCAAGCAGCACTCTTGCTCGAGCAGGTATCTAATGTGAACTATGTATAATTTCATGTATCTCTCCTTGTTTAGTGCACATCTGCCATTTCCGGTTCTCGCAGCATTTTTTCCTACTACTACATGATCATGCTGCCCATCCACCAATTCTTCTTTGTGCATTGATGCACACGTGTCCTTAGGCAAAGAGAATGCCATGCTTGCATAATTTCCCCAACCTCGAGAGCCTACAAATTCGAAATAGATACCTGCTTATCACCCAAAAAAAAAAGTTAAAAGCAAAATGCTGAAGTTTAGTGATGAGGAGAGTTAAACCTTCGTTTACAGCAAACAAAGATCTTTCAAATCCTAACTTAAGGAATTTAGGATTCTACATTGTGGTCCAAAAGAAAATGCAAAGCAAAGAATCAAGTAACATTGCCTGTCACCAATTAAGGGACAATACTGACTATTCTCTTATCTGACAACGAAACAAAGAACATAGGAGGCAACTTTGATCAAAGCACTATAGCGTGAATATACTGCATCAAGGGTGCTGATAGAATGACTTCACGAATAACTTTTCTCCCCGTGTATGGGCTGATTTTGTCTTGTATCATTAATACCCATATAGCTGAGAGGCTATTTTTTTGGGAATATTAAGGTTTTTGTCCTGCATGAAATTTTCAGATATTACTGTGTAAAAATAGTTTGAAGTATTTTTATCATCTTTCTTTATGAAAGGATAATTAGCGTGAGAAATAGTAGTCGAGAGAATTATGGGAATGCGTGGCTTTTACACCTCACGCTTCTTTCTAATTATATATATGTTTTCCAATGAGTGCCTACACTTGTCCAATGTGGGACACTAATATGTATAGTGCTACACTAGCCTATCTGACATTCCTCCTCAAGGCTGTGCATACGCATCGTATGTGCTGAGCTTCCTACATACATAACTAACTTGAAGATGTGCGAGATATTTGGTAAATATGTCTGCAAGCTGATCATTGAACTTTACAGATCTCGTGACAGTAACTTCTGATAGTGACTTTTCTGTCAAAGTGACAATAAATTTCTATGTTGTTAGTCCTTTCATGGAATACTAAATTTGAAACGATATGGAGCACAACTTGATTATCACAAATAAGTTAAATTTGTGTGGTGACTTCAATTTTTCCAGCTTTGTTCAGTCCTTATGAGTTCACGACTGCCATGAATGGATATTCAGCTTTAGCATTGGATCACTCAATTACACCTTTCTTGGTCTTTCAAAATACTAAATTGCCTCCAACTATAACACAATATCCATATACCCAATAGTTTTCTCATGTCCTCGATCCTGATTAAGTAGCCATTTTCTTGGAGCAAATTTAGTTCACCAAAGGATACAGACTAACGCATCTTCGATGAGTTCACATGGACTATCTGAAAATGACTGATATCAGGGCTTTTTACAGTAAGATAATTTGGTTTTTTGGGGTTTTCAGCTAATCTTTTGCATCTCTCGGGGTCACTAAGAGGCATGCCCTGACCTGGAAAAAGTTTTACATTAGGATTCATAGGAGCATCAATTGGTTTGTTATTTGTCATCCTTATCTCAAGTATATCATGCTGAGAAGAGACATCTGTGGTACATCACAGCAGTTAGAATGGATAGCTTTAATAGAGAATAGGAAAAGAGGAAAAGTTGAATTAGAGGAATTGATTAAATTTTTGCAAGTTTGGATTTAATGTTGAGGAGTGAAAGCGAAAGTGTAGGTAGTGAACAAAATCTCAGCCTTTATGTCTTTGATTCTATTTTACATTTATTTGAGTTTGTGGCTAGAAACAGAATGGGAAGTAACTTTTAGCTGCCAACATTGACCATGGCCGACAAAAATAGATACATATGAAGGGTTTTCAATTAACTGGTGTACTTTGTTTTTTCTATAGCAAGAGACTGAAAAAACCTAATACTCTTATATCATTCACTCTCCTCACTGTTCTTTTCTCCTAAACAGGCTTTTTTTCTTTCTTCTCCTTTCTTTAATCCAACACACTGTTTGGAATGGGTATCGAGTTTCTTCTCCTTTTTTATGAGAATTTTTCATACAAATTTGTTGGTTGTAATTGAGGTTCCACGAAACAGTATTTGATTAAAAGTTTATCAAGTTTCTGCTAAAATCTGCTGCTAATTGCCTTATGAACTCATGAGATGCTAAAGACAATTCACAATATTGTCCTTATTTGTGAAGTAGAAATGAACTATGTCAATATAATGCTAACACCCCCACCTCTTTTTTAGTGGTTGCTTTTCTAGAAACAGGATGTCATTTTCTTGGTCCCTATGAATTTCTACCATATTATCATGAATCATCCTCTCAAAGTTACAAATATTGTTGTATGTCGAGTAGACAGCCAAAATTTAGAATATGAACTTGGTGAACCTTGTGAATTTGCAGGAAAAGTTTGACATGGCTACGAAAGAAGCTGACACAGCTAAAGCATCATGGTTGTGCCGCATCTGTCTCAACACTGAAGTGGACGTTACTATAGTCCCTTGTGGTCATGTGCTTTGCCGTAGATGCTCGTCTGCAGTTTCCAGGTGTCCGTTCTGTCGGCTTCAAGTCTCTAAGGTTATGAGAATGTTCCGGCCCTGAATACATTGTTGCTGCAAATTACCTACCTTCCTACCGTGAACTTCATTGGTGTTATTCATTTGCCTGGTATGATATCCTTTGCTAAAGGATAATTGATGCAGTTTTGAAGAGTCTCTATTTGAGAGATATTTGAATTATTCTCCCAGTTGCCAAGGAGCTTTACTTCGGATACCATATTAAAGCCCCGATTTATTTCGTGTCAAAAAAGAAATTCTTGCAGATGGAGCAGTATATAGAGAGCTCCACTTTTGAGTTACTTGTATAGATAGGGCATCTTATATTCTAATCATGTACAAAATCGTAGTTTATAAGGTCTAATCATGTACAGAAATTTGCGATGATGTTCTAAATGATGTCATTTTAGAAATCAAATCAGAATTGAAAAGTTTATGCTTTTATAGCATCGCGTTTTGTTGCGGCCAAACGCACACGCAAGTATACGTGGTCGTCAAGTAATAAAATGATAAGATAGAGTGTTGAATCCACGAGAATTTGTTATCAACTATTAACTAGACTAGATCAAACTATCTTAATTATCTAAATAAGGATTTTTGAATCTAAACTAACTAAAACAAATGGAAAACAAGTAATGATAAACAAGCATATATAAAATATTCTCACATATATAGTAATGATTTTTATTTTCGTAAATATCATTCTGGAATGATTTGCAATGATAATTTTTTTTTTTCCTTTTTTTTTATGTTGCTTCTTGTCTTACGTTTTGGAATAAATATCAATTTATGCCTAATAATTTCTTTTCTTATTAGCCCATTCTAAAATGAATGACGCATTTCTATATTTGAAAATAATTTAACTTATAAACTTTTTATTTTACCCATTTTACCCTTAGTGAGGAACTTTTATAGTCACACAAATATTATGGCCCAACAAACCTTTTGCACCTTAAGATTTTAGGACTACATATTTTAAAAGTCATTCTTTTTTATCTTAAACTTTGTGTCAAGTCAAACTACATCATCTAAATTAAAACGGAGGCAGTACCTACATCATAATTTGTGTTCGACCAAATGATTGGGTCCAAGCCTACACTACTAATGAGTGGAGAGGGTAGTCGATGCAGTTTTAATCCAACTATGTCGGGATCGAATCCACAGGGAGTTAATATTTGGAATTAGTTTTATATCTAAGCTAGATGTGGGCTTTGAGTCTAATTACACTTCCACAAGTTTTGGGTTTGATTTCTATTTCTAACTTTACTCTATTGCATGCAATGATTGAAACCAAGGACAATATTTTTGTTGTTGATTTTCAAGAGTTTAAAGAGACTAGGGTAGTGACTTCTACCTAGGTGGATATCTAACGAGTAGCAAAAATCTAGGGCAAGCTTGATTAGTTAGGGTCGTAATATAGCTATCACACCCGGGTACTCACTCTATACCTCTCTGTAGTTTAAGTGATTTTGCCCAAATTGGCTTTCTCAAGTCCAAATGGGTATCCATGCAATTCAACTGATATTAGCTCAAGTCGAGTATTACTATCTCTAGGTTTAACCCTTTAATTGGGGCTATCGATTTCTTGAGTTCACCCCAATTCCTTGTTAGCCTAGTTTTCCTAGACTTAGTCCCTCTTTCTTAAGTAGAGACTAAGTCATAAAGGCATGAATAATGTTTGCAACCATTAATTCTATAGTTCTAGCAAGAACTAGGTTAAATATCACTAACTCATTCACATTCAAGCCCTAAAATCAAATACCCATCAAATACTCATAGTAGGGTTGGGTCACAACCCTAGATATGGGTTTAGCTACTCATAGAAATAATAGAAATTAAAGATTAAATGAAGATAAAATTCATAATACTAGATTAAATGATGAAAATTTAATGTTAAAAGATGAATCTAGTACAAAATTTACCAAAAAAGAAAACTCAGTTGTCTCAGGTGCTCCTCTAATACATTACATGACCTAAAAATGACAAAAATTTCTATTTATACTAAACTAAAAATATCTGACAAAAATACCCCTGCGGAGGTTGTGCGGCCACATAATTCTGAGTACAGCCGCACTCTTGCTTTCGCGGCCGCACAATTCTGAGTGCGGTCTGTATTCTTCAATTTTAGATCTGGGTTGAGCTGAGCTTTCGCGGGACGCATAATTCTAATCGCGTCCGCACAAGGGACTTCAGCGGCCGCACAATTCTGATGCGGACCACACTTCTCTCTTTTGCTCAAATTGTAAACTTTGTGAACCTCAGTCATCGCGGTCCGCATAATTTCAATTGCGCACTCACATTTCTAGTGTGGGTCGCGCTCATCTTTTAACCCAAAACTCACACTCTCTAAATCTCCCTTATGCGGACCACATAATTATGCTCGCGGCCCCATCATGGCTTTCGCGGCCGCACAATATCTGTGTGGTCCGCGCTTCAGTACTCTTTTCCCAGCCTTGGTTTTTGTTCAACTTTTGACTCCTTTTGTAATACCTGACATTTAACAAAAGGGTAGTTAAGTAATTGGCAAAAAAACTAAAAAAAATGGAACAAAAAGGGCCGAAGGCCACCAGAAACAATCTGGTAACATTCAAAAGGGTTTAGGGGAATAAAGCCAAAAGCTTCAAGAAAAAGAAAATAAACAGTAGCAACCGTCAATCAAAGTTTCAAAAGAACGAAAAGAATAGAGTTCTCTCAATAAGGCTTCCAAGACAAAGCAACTGAAGAAGGAAAATTTCACCTCATAATTGCTACCCGTGAAAGCACTCTTCGACTTAAAGGTCAAATTTTCCCCCTCCTTTGATTCTACTTGAATTTCTAGCAATTTCTTTTAATTTTGATCATGATGTTTTTGAGATTAAATTGGATATTGAAAGTTAATACCGGTAAGAAATATTATAAGCAACAATATTAGTCAAGTTCCTTCTAATTCACATGGTTAATGAGATTGAAGGGTATAGTGAATAGACAATACGAATGCGCTTTAATTAGAAGATAATGAACTGGTTTGGGTTAATTGTAGCATGAGTAGATATAAATTTTCATAGGTCGAGGTAAATAGTAATATTTGCAACTCAAAAGTAGTTTGATTCATCTTATATAGATATGAGAATACCCATGAATAATTAGAAACTTTATTCTGAAATAGGCTAAGTAGAAAACAAGGCGAACCGTATCAAATTTATATTTTAATAATTTAAGTATGTAGTCAAAATGCTTACTTAACCTGTTGTGCTTCTGTAAAACCATCAAGAGGATATATGATGTAAACTATTAATTTTTATTCCTTGCAAATTTTTAATATATTTAGAAAAGAAGTTGAATAAAAAAGGTTTGAGATTTGAAAAGGCAAATTTGTGATAGATTATGAAGATGTAGAATTACTCATAGCTTGGGTAAAATAAAAATAACAATTTGACGAATTGAGAGTCAAATATATAACCCCGAGGATTGGGTATTCTAAATTAATTATGAATTGGTCTAAACATGAAAATTAACACCAGAGCTATATGATGTGATTATAGATTGATCGAATGAAGCCATACAGATTGCTCGAAGTGACAAGTTTGATATTTCGACACGAGTTCTGTGAGTAGTAATCTTACCGCAATTTGTGTTTTTTAACCTGCATGTTTTAGACATTATTTTGAAAATAAAATGTGTTACCGAATATTTGAAATTGCATGCGGGACAAGTCTTTTACTTGATATGGTACTGAATAGTTTACTTGAGATGTTTACAGTTATTTAAAATGTTCTCACTGTTACTAGACATGTTTTACTATTACTAGAGACATGATTACCGTTACCGAAATTGGATTACATGATTTGATAAAAATTAAAATGCCTTGTACTGTTTTGAAAATTGCTTCCACGTGAAGATTTACTTTTACAAAGAAAAGTATGAATGGGAGGAGACTTTGAAGGATCCCGTAGCTAACGGCAGGTTCGTTAGACCTGGTGCACCTTTTATTTACTGATTACTGAGTATAGTTAGAGTCCTCGCTAGTGGGAAGGTAGAATTAGCATACAGTTACTGTAGACATATGATTTGTGACCCTCCCCAAGATTTTTCATATTTTAGCCCGTAAATATTTAATTTAGGCCCGGTATAGCTATTTCAACTCATTTTTACTCTTTTACTTTATTTTAATACAAGGAAATGAAAATTACAAAAAAATATTTTTATTTTATTTTATGTACCTTTCATAAAGTAAAAAAAACATACAAAAAATAGTACCTTAATTTTATCTTTATATAATCTTGAAAATACAAAAAATATGTAATAGTTTCATGTTTTAATATAGTTTAGTTTAATTAATTAGAATTTATTTTTGCATCATGTAGTATAGTTATCTTATATTAAGGGAATTTAGCTATGGTTTTAATTAATAATTTTTGGAGTCTTTTTAGCCCAAAATTGAAACACAAAAAAAAAAAAAAGACATGGTCCAACCCAATTACCCTTAGCCTGTTCTTCCCAACCCATGAGCCCATTTAAGTGCAAGATTTAATCCTAGCATTCTATTTCCTTCTAATCCAATGGTCATCATCATTTCCCACTTCCATATAAAATACCCAATTATAGAAACCCTACCCTAAGTTTTTCAATTCCTATACCCTAAAAAAAACAGAAAACGGAGCACAAGAGCTCCTTCTTCTTCTTCTTCTTTCATTTTTTGAAAAATCCGCCGCACACCTTACCCAAAATTCCCTAAGCTAAGGGCCTTACACCATCAGCTTCCCTGTTTACAAGAAATAACCGCCACCCCAGTTCCCTTCTCGTCGGTTTCACTAAAATAGGATTAGATATGTGGAATTGGTAACAATGGCGCAACAAGGCATTTGTATTTTATCAGACTGAAGCTCTTTTGTTCCACAACAACTACGGCAAATGTAGAGCAACTTAATGTCAAAATTTTTGGTAATCTTTCATCTATCTGATCAGTATAGTCATCAAATTTCTGGTAATTTTTCATCTATCCCGTTATTGTTTTTTACTTCATCTATGTGTCCGTCACCACTCTAAAATGAGCAAAACTATTGCATTTTTGGCCAATATTGAATTAAAGAGAGTTGAAAAATGTGATCAAAGGCAAAAATGTAGCCACACTTTTATGCACCCATTAACTCTTTTTTGTCTTGTAGTATTATATTTCTTTTCAGAATCTTACTTTTCTCGTATTACTAATTTGTTTACAATTTTTGACTAATTGAACCATTAAATGATAGTAGTTGTACTTTTAGAAAAAATAAATAAATTTGAAGGCTTTGTTTAGGAGGAATAATGAATAACGCAGTAACATCGTAGCTTGCTTTAGACGCGTTAATTATAATAAATTATCGTGGCTATGGGTACGGTTCCCGTGGCATGGTCACAATACATAAATCTCAATTGGGGTGTGCATTTATGTAACCCAATTCAAATCTCAACAACGTTAGGTATAA